TATTAGGTTGGAGGCCATTGCTAGTAGGTTGGAGGCCATCGCTATTAGGTTGGAGGCCATTGCTATTCGGTTGGAGAGGCCATCACTTTTAGGTTGGAGGCCATCGCTATTAGGCTGAGGCCATCCCTATGATGTTGCAGGCCATCACTTCTGGGTTGGAGGCCATCCCTATACATGAGGTGGAGCCCATCGCTATTAGGTTGTTGCCCATTGCTATTAGGCTGGGGGCGATCGCTAGGCCATTGCTTTTCTTGCATCAGGTTCGTGTCCCGCAACGTCTATGAAGAGTTGCACCATCGATCCGTGCAGAACCCCCAAGGCCGGACAAAAGCGCTGCGAGCTCATGGGTGAGCGGTCCGGGAGCAAACAAAAGCGGTTTGGGGAACAGATAGAGAGAAAACAAGAAATCATCCTTTGTTGTGTTCTAAACATCAATGTTTGTTGGTGTGTTGTCTTCTGGGCGTGTGTGTTCATTAAGATGTTTGTTGAGCACAGGCATTAGGGGATGTAAGGGAAAGCATTCTAATTGCTGAAGGCTGACCGTAGGCGGCAGTCTCAGGCTGAGGGGCCTAAGGACGGTCCAACTTAGTGACAAAGATCCCAGCAATGCTCCTGTTACTACTAGTAAGGCACCGGTTACTAGTAGCGATGCACTTGTTACTAGTAGCTTCTTGTTACTACTAGCAAGGCACCTGTTACTAGTAGCGGTGCACTTGTTACTAGTAGCTTCTTGTTACTACTAGCAAGGCACCTGTTACTAGTAGCGATGCACTTGTTACTAGTAGCTTCTTGTTACTACTAGCAAGGCGCCTGTTACTAGTAGCGATGCACGTGTTACTAGTAGCTTCTTGTTACTACTAGCAAGGCACTTGTTACTAGTAGCGATGCACTTGTTACTAGTAGCTTCTTGTTACTACTAGTAAGGCACCTGTTACTACTAGCGATGCACTTGTTCCTAGTAGCTTCTTGTTACTACAAGTAAGGCACCTGTTACTACTAGCGATGCACTTGTTACTAGTAGCTTCTTGTTACTACTAGCAAGGCACCTGTTACTAGTAGCGATGCACTTGTTACTAGTAGCTTCTTGTTACTACTAGTAAGGCACCTGTT